CCCCCTTGCCCACAAAACCTCCTTTACCCCCTCTCTCCCTTTCGAGGACGCCCCCTACCTCGCCTACCTTCCCCTATAGATTTATATGCTTTCCATGTCATTCTACTTTGATCCATTCTCTCTAAATGACCAAACCACCTCAACAACTCCTCTTCTGCCCTCTGACTAATACTTTTATTAACTCCACACCTTTTCCTAATTTCCATACTCCGAATTTTCTGCATAATATTTACACCACACATTGCCCTTAAACAGGACATCTCCACTGCCTCCAACCGTCTCCTTGCTGCTGCATTTACCACCCAAGTTTCACACCCATATAAGAGTGTTGGTACTACTATACTTTCATACATTCCCTTCTTTGCCTCCATAGATAACGTTTTTTGACTCCACATATACCTCAATGCACCACTCACCTTTTTTCCCTCATCAATTCTATGATTAACCTCATCCTTCATAAATCCATCCGCCGACACGTCAACTCCCAAGTATCTGAAAACAAATTTACTTCTTCCATACTCCTCCTCCCCAATTTGATATCCAATTTTTCTTTATCTAAATCATTTGATACCCTCATCACCTTACTCTTTTCTATGTTCACTTTCAACTTTCTACCTTTACACACATTCCCAAACTCATCCACTAACCTTTGCAATTTTTCTTTAGAATCTCCCATAAGCACAGTATCATCAGCAAAAAGTAACTGTGTTAATTCCCATTTTGAATTTGATTCCCCATAATTTAATCCCACCCCTCTCCCGAACACCCTAGCATTTACTTCTTTTACAACCCCACCTATAAATATATTAAACAACCATGGTGACATTACACATCCCTGTCTAAGACCTACTTTTACCGGGAAGTAGTCTCCCTCTCTTCTACACACCCTAACCTGAGCTTCACTATCCTCATAAAAACTCGTTACAGCATTTAGTAACTTACCACCTATTCCATATACTTGCAACATCTGCCACATTGCTCCCCTATCCACTCTATCGTATGCCTTTTCTAAATCCATAAATGCAATAAAAACTTCCCTACCTTTATCTAAATACTGTTCACATATATGCTTCAATGTAAACACTTGATCTACACATCCCCTACCCACTCTGTAACCTCCTTGCTCATCTGCAATCCTACATTCTGTCTTATCTCTAATTCTTTCAATTATAACCCTACCATACACTTTTCCTGGTATACTCAATAAACTTATTCCTCTATAATTTTTACAATCTCTTTTGTCCCCTTTCCCTTTATATAAAGGGACTATACATGCTCTCTGCCAATCCCTAGGTACCTTCCCCTCTTTCATACATTTATTAAACAAAAGTACCAACCACTCCAACACTATATCCCCCCCTGCTTTTAACATTTCTGTCATGATCCCATCAGTTCCAGCTGCTTTAACCCCCTTTCATTCTATGTAATGCCTCACGTACCTCCCCCACACTTACTATTCTGCTCTTCTTCACTCCTAAAAATGGTATACCTCCCTGACCAGTGCATGAAATTACCGCCTCCCTTTCTTCCTCAACATTTAAAAGTTCCTCAAAATATTCTCGCCATCTACCTAATACCTCCCTCTCCCCATCTACTAACTCCCCTACTCTGTTTTTAACTGACAAATCCATACTTTCCCTAGGCTTTCTTAACTTGTTTAACTCACTCGAAAATTTTTTCTTATTTTCATTAAAATTTCTTGAAAGTGCCTCTCCCACTCTATCATCTGCTCTCCTTTTGCACTCTCTCACCACTCTCTTCACCTTTCTTTTACTCTCCATATACTCTGCTCTTCTTATAACACTTCTGCTTTGTAAAAACCTCTCATAAGCTAACTTTTTCTCTTTTATCACACCCTTTACTTCATCATTCCACCAATCACTCCTCTTTCCACCTGCCCCCACCCTCCTATAACCACAAACTTCTGCCCCACATTCTAATACTGCATTTTTAAAACTATTCCAACCCTCTTCAACCCCCCCACTACTCATCTTTGCACTAGCCCACCTTTCTGCCAACAGTCGCTTATATCTCCCCTGAACTTCCTCCTCCCTTAGTTTATACACTTTCACCTCCCTCTTACTTGTTGTTGCCACCTTCCTCTTTTCCCATCTACCTCTTACTCTAACTGTAGCTACAACTAAATAATGATCCGATATATCAGTTGCCCCTCTATAAACATGTACATCCTGGAGCCTACCCATCAACCTTTTATCCACCAATACATAATCTAACAAACTAATTTCATTATGTGCTACATCATACCTTGTATATTTATTTATCCTCTTTTTCATAAAATATGTATTACTTATTACCAAATCTCTTTCTACACATAGCTCAATTAAAGACTCCCCATATACATTTACCCCTGGCACCCCAAATTTACCTACTACTCCCTCCATAACATTTTTACCCACTTTAGCATTGAAATCCCCAACCACCATTACTCTCACACTTGATTCAAAACTCCCCGCGCATTCACTCAACATTTCCCAAAATCTCTCTCTATCCTCTACACTTCTTTCTTCTCCAGGTGCATACACGCTTACTATAACCCACTTTTCACATCCAATCTTTATTTTACTCCACATAATCCTTGAATTTATACATTTATAGTCCTCTTTTCCTGCCATAGCTTATCCTTCAACATTATTGCTACTCCTTCTTTAGCTCTAACTCTATTTGAAACCCCTGACCTAATCCCATTTATTCCTCTCCATTGAAACTCTCCCACCCCCTTCAGCTTCGTTTCACTTAAAGCCAGGACATCCAGCTTCTTCTCATTCATAACATACACAATCATCTCTTTCTTATCATTTGCACAACATCCACGCACATTCAGACTTCCCACTTTGACAATTTTCTTCTTATTCTTTTTAGTAATCTTTACAGGAAAAGGGGTTACTAGCCCATTGTTCCCGGCATTTTAGTTGACTTTTACAACACGCATGGCTTACGGAGGAAAGATTCTTATTCCACTTCCCCATGAATATAAAAGGAAAAGTAATAAGACCAAGAACTATTAAGATAAAATCAAAGAAAACTCAGATGAGTGTGTATAAATAAACGTGTACATGTATGTGTAGTGTGACCTAAGTGTAAGTAGAAGTAGCAAGACATACCTGTAATCTTGCATATTTATGAGACAGACAAAAGACACCAGCAATCCTACCATCATGTAAAACAATTACAGGCTTTTGTTTTACATTCACTTGGCAGGACGGTAGTACCTTCCCTGGGTGGTTGCTGTCTACCAACCTACTACATTCTAAGTGAAGAAATTAAAAGGCAATGAGGAGTCACCAAGGGCATAATTCAGAGGACTGAGGAGGGGTTCTTGCAGTGGTTTTGACAAGCACATAGGGACAGGATAATGAAGAAGGTGTAGAAATATAGGATGGAAGGTAGAAGAGGTAAAGGTCATCCCAGGAATGGTTGGAGGGAGGGGGGGTAAAAGAGGCTTGGTAGAGCTTGAGTATTCAACAGGTTTGTGTCAGTGTGTTAGACAGGAAAGAACAGAGAATTGGTTGACTCACGAAATCATAATGACACGATTGCAAACAAACCATACCCCGGCCGGGATTGAATCCGCGGTCAGAGAGTCTCAAAACTCCAGCCCGTCGCGTTAGCCACTAGACCAGCTAGCCACAATAAGATTCGTCAAACTAGGTATATTTCTACACCATAGGAAGGTTAGCACAGGCACCACTGTGACCACAAATGCAAGTTTTTACAGACGAATCTCCAGCTAGCATGGCCATGACAAACTCTAGCTCAAGTCCCTTCACTGCCGTCAACATGACTCACGAAATTGTAATGACGAATCTTATTGTGGCTAGCTGGTCTAGTGGCTAACGCGACGGGCTGGAGTTTTGAGACTCTCTGACCGCGGGTTCAATCCCGGCCGGGGTATGGTTAGAGAACTGGTTTTTCAATGAACATGCTGTTTGAGTGTGAGCAAGGTAGGAGGTGGGAAGGGCAGTGCCTGCACATTGGAGGAGGGGTGGGGTGCTGCAGATGGAAGGTGATCTAACCTGTGATGTCAACACACTTCTGGCAAAAGAATGATTGAGTGAAAGATGGTGAATGTGTTTTCATGTTTGGGTTATCCTGCTGTGGCAGGAGATGGCTGCTGTGGTAGGAAAAAAAAAAAGGGGGGGGGGTGAAGCAAATTACCAGAGAAGGCAGGAATAGAATGGTTAAAATACAAGTCTGAGAAACAAAGCGAGACAAGAGGCAGCAAGAGACAAATGAGCTATACAAACATTAGGATATACTTCTTAGATCTAAGAGTGCAAGAAAAATGGATCGAGTTAAGAGAAAATGATGGGGATAAAATTCAAGAGTAGGTACAATTAATTTTAATCAAGGGGAAGCACTAAAAATGTGATGATCATATAACACCTGGAGAATGGGAAGAATTTGGATTCAATCCAAGGAAGGGAAGAATAATTCCAGTTCCTTGGATCAGGAGTCCCTTACAAGCATCAAGGAGCTTCTCTTCACGAAGAATAGGTACAATAAGGCCCAGAAAGCTAGAAACCTTATTAACATAGCTTAAAAGGCAAAGTATGGAGAGAAAACTTTGCCCCTGCAAACACGAACTGGCAAGTATATTATGAAGAAAAGTTATAAAGGACATTACCATTAACTTTTTAATTCATTATCAAACTGGTAAGAAATTCTTGTCTTTAATAAATTGTTAATTTTTAGTAAAAATTAGAGGCTTGGTCTTCAAATACTGTATAATCATTGTGTGAATAATTAAATACAGTAACCCTTTATCCAACCTCACAAAGAGAATAAATACCTGAGTGTTAGTAGTGCAGGCATTTTACAATTTAATAAATTCTAAACATTGAAAATTTTTATCTTTATTCAGTATTATTTCCCAGAAAATTTATAAAATTACCATCAAACTGTGAAGTCCAAAAATACTCATGAAATGTGCAAAGAAGATAACAGTTAATAGAATAAACTGAAATGAAATTTGTACTTACCCCGTTATCCCTCATTGTGAGTGTACTAACAGTATAATCGCGGTAATGATAAACATGTTTATTGGTAATTGTGAAGTGAGAGTGTGATGCTACTCCATCTTGCTCTGCAGGCCAGTACTGCCCACACTTAGTCCTTCCTCTTTCTACTGCCCGAGTAGTCATGACAATAACACATACTCGTTGCTCCCAGATCATCCGCCAGAAATCGCCAAATGTTCCAGGTAATGGACCTTATTAGGAGTAAAAAAAAAAATGTCTGAACATATCTAAAGAGTTAAATTTTTTATATAAAGGTGCAAATCATCAAATGTGATTCCTGTTTTTTTTTTTTTTTTTTTTTTTTTTACACAGGGTTTGACAAGGTTAAGGATCCCTAGCTTTATTGACAAGCTATTTACAGGTTAAGGATTCCTAACTTTATTGGCAAGCTAAGAGCTGTTACCTACATCAGCTCATTTGAAAGCATTGAAAGCATTTTTATTGTTATGAGACATACAAGTAGGGAACAGGATGAAGTTGGAGCCATCTGTGGGCCAGCATTTTCATTTGATCAACTGACTTTTTCTCGTTACATCATTATGCTGTACGAATGTGTTCCATACTCGAGTCATGCTGTTTTGAGGATTGTATAGATTCACCTTGTTTTTTTTTTTTTTTTTTTTTTTAACACATTGGCCATTTCCCACTGGGGCAGGGTGACCCAAAAAAGAAGACACTTTCATTATTACTCACTCCATCACTGTCTTGTCAGAGGCATGCCTACACTACAGTTCAAGGGTTCAGGAAAACCCCTCCTAACCAAGACTGGAATGAAAGGATCTGAAATTTGCAATTACACTCCAAGATCCAGAACTCTTGGATCCTAGATTTCAACTAAGAGAGATTTTCCAGATCCATTTAATCTGTTTAATCAATTATAATACTGTACTTATATTCTGTACTGTACTTATATCTTCTGTATAATACAGTGGACCCCCGCATAACGATCACCTCGAATGCGACAAATTATGTAAGTGTATTTATGTAAGTGCGTTTGTACGTGTATGTTTGGGGGTCTGAAATGGACTAATCTACTTCACAATATTCCTTATGGGAACAAATTCGGTCAGTACTGGCACCTGAACATACTTCTGGAGTGAAAAAATATCGTTAACCGGGGGTCCACTGTATTATGTACTGCACTTGAGTTTTCTAACTGTATTTTACAGTACTGAAAATAGCATACAGTATTTTAGTATTTTTAATGACAATCCTATCATTTCACCATGTATCAAAATATGCATAAATTGTCTATATATATAGCTCTTATCTTCTTAGTATTACTACATTAAGAAGACAAAAAAAATGAGTTGAGAACATGCAAATAACCGCTGCAACTTCATCATTTCTGTATTACCTTGAGTAGAAATGAAGGCATTCTTTTGTTTATAACCATCAACATAGTTGGCATTAATATAGTCTGTATGACACTCTTCATCTTCAGCTGAAAGTACCACACGAGAATTGTCAAAACATAGCACATCTGTGTACCGATTTTTTATCTGATTCCATCTTTTCCTGTAGAGGGAAAGAATTGTTTAGTGTTATTTCTTAAAATATTGTGTATGGCTGTGTGCATGCACGCATGTATTTATTTACATATATATGCTCGGTATGCTACTGACAGTTTACTATTTAACCCTTCGACTGTCACAGGCCCCTTTCTGAAACTCATTTTATGTCGATAAATTTTTGGGAAAAAAAAAAAATTATTTTTTCTTATGAAATGATAGAGAATCTGTTCTCAATGGTAATGACACCAAAAGTATGAAATTTGGTCAAAAACTCACGGAATTACGCACCCGTGAAGTTAGCGGTCTCGGCGACATATACGCATCGGCGATTTCGCCAACTTTGAGCCCTGTTTTTGGCCAATTCCATTGTTCCAGTTGACCAAACTCATAGCTATTTCTTTAGAACTCCATTTTTTCTATCTGTCGAGTACAAGAAACCGCCCATTTACCGATTTGAACTACCCAATAAAGTGATCAGAAATTGGCAATTTGGCCAATTTCACGCAAATTAAAAAAGATGCCAATTTCAAAATAGGGTCCAGAATAAACACTGTAGACATTCTTGGCACTAAAATAACATCCTCTGTTCATTAGTCACGTCTCTAGGCCCCTCTTATATTACTATTGCTTTCTATTTTGATTTTTTATTCATACAAAAAAAAATACAAAATTTACTATTATGCAGACTACTGCATTATTGTAAAAATGGTATAAGTAATATCAGTGCACTAGTGAAAGAATATTAGACTCCCCAGTTGAAGTGTATTGGACGTGTGGTGTGATTTGCTTACTTCTGAACATTGGTAAAAATCGAACATTTCCGGTACTTTGAGCTCAATTTCAAGGTCGTTTTCATCGTGAAAGTAATCAAAATCATCTCTATTTCTGTAATATGTTTTCCATTTCATCACCCGAGACCATGAAAACGATAAATATATACGAAAATATACCTCAAAGTCAGCGTTTTAATAAAAAAAAAAAAAGGTCCGCTTTTTTTCTCATATTACGCTGTGCGTGCTGCAGGATTTTTTTTATGTGGTGCACACTGACCACACAGACCCATTCTCTCACATGTGGGCCTACCAGCTTTCTCCTGCTTGATCTGAAGTCGCTAGAATTTATGCGTATAAATACGTCAGAAACAGTGGTGCGCAAGACGTATATATACGACCGAAACAGTCAAAGGGTTAAGGAAAACAGCCACCATAATTCATCAACTACTTTTGTCATGCTCATACTTTGCTGACTCCTAAAATATAATCTTGAATACACAATTTGATCCCTGTTTGTATTATTTATTTGATTCTGTTTTTCTTCTGTGTAAATATATAATTATTATTATTATTATCACACTGGCCGATTCCCACCAAGGCAGGGTGGCCCGAAAAAGAAAAACTTTCACCATCATTCACTCCATCACTGTCTTGCCAGAAGGGTGCTTTACACTACAGCTTTTAAACTGCAACATTAACACCCCTCCTTCAGAGTGCAGGCACTGTACTTCCCATCTCCAGGACTCAAGTCCGGCCTGCCGGTTTCCCTGAACCCCTTCATAAATGTTACTTTTCTCACACTCCAACAGCACGTCAAGTATTAAAAACCATTTGTCTCCATTTACTCCTATCAAACACGCTCACGCATGCCTGCTTGAAGTCCAAGCCCCTCGCACACAAAACCTCCTTTACCCCCTCCCTCCAACCTTTCCTAGGCTGACCCCTACCCTGCCTTCCTTCCACTACAGACTGATACACTCTTGAAGTCACTCTGTTTTGCTCCATTCTCTCTACATGTCCGAACCACCTCAACAACCCTTCCTCAGCCCCTGGACAACAGTTTTGGTAATCCCGCACCTCCTCCTAACTTCCAAACTACGAATTCTCTGCATTATATTCACACCACACATTGCCCTCAGACATGACATCTCCACTGCCTCCAGCCTTCTCCTCGCTGCAACATTCATCACCCATGCTTCACACCTATATAAGAGCGTTGGTAAAACTATACTCTCATACATTCCCCTCTTTGCCTCCAAGGACAAAGTTCTTTGTCTCCACAGACTCCTAAGTGCACCACTCACCCTTTTCCCCTCATCAAATCTATGATTCACCTCATCTTTCATAGACCCATCCGCTGACACGTCCACTCCCAAATATCTGAATACATTCACCTCCTCCATACTCTCTCCCTCCAATCTGATATCCAATCTTTCATCACCTAATCTTTTTATCCTCATAACCTTACTCTTTCCTGTATTCACTTTTAATTTTCTTCTTTTGCACACCCTACCAAATTCATCCACCAATCTCTGCAACTTCTCTTCAGAATCTCCCAAGAGCACAGTGTCATCAGCAAAGAGCAACTGTGACAACTCCCACTTTATGTGTGATTCTTTATCTTTTAACTCCACGCCTCTTGCCAAGACCCTTGCATTTACTTCTCTTACAACCCCATCTATAAATATATTAAACAACCACGGTGACATCACACATCCTTGTCTAAGGCCTACTTTTACTGGGAAATAATTTCCCTCTTTCCTACATACTCTAACTTGAGCCTCACTATCCTCGTAATAACTCTTCACTGCTTTCAGTAACCTACCTCCTACACCATACACCTGCAACATCTGCCACATTGCCCCCCTATCCACCCTGTCATACCCCTTTTCCAAATCCATAAATGCCACAAAGACCTCTTTAGCCTTATCTAAATACACATCAGCTGGTGGGTCTAATATGCGTTCATGAATGCGCTGATATTATTTATACAATTATTACAATATTGTATAACAGTTAATCTATCTTTTGGTGTGAATGAAAATTCATTATGTGAATAAAAAAGCTAAAGGGAATCCATCTGTAAAGCCTGGAAATGTAACTAATAAATGGAGGAAATGTTATTTTAGTGCCAGGAATGCCTGCATTGTTTATTTTGGACCCTACTTTGAAATTGGAATATTCTGAACTTGGAGTGAAATTGGCCAAATTACCGATTTCAGATCATTTTATTGGGTAGCTGAAACAGTTGACTGGGCGATTTCTTGTGCTCAATCAATAAAATAGAAGAATACTAGTGAAACAGCCAAGAATTTGGTTGACTGGAATAATGTAATTGGCCTAAAATGGGAGTTAAGTGGGCAAAATTGCCGATGCGTAAATATCGCTGATTCAACAAAATTTGTGAACATTATTCTGTCAATTTTGCATCAAATTTCGTACTTTTGTTTTATTCCCTTCAGAAAAAGATTCTCTTCCATTTCATAAGAAAAAATAGCAAAAATTTTTTTTTTTAAATCGTTGGACCCTGTGCACAAGTTTCAGATCAGGGGTCTGGACTCTGAAAGGGTTAAACTGTTACAAATATATAAATTGAAGCATTTACCAGAAAATTGCAGAAATGTAAAAAATGCAAGTTTTCAATAGAGTGGTAAAAGGGAAATGCTATTTTGTTTAGCAAGACCTGGTACTCTATACAGCCTCTCCTCACTTAACCCTTAAACTGTCCAAACGTAGATCTACGTTTGCACTCGTAGCGCTCCGAACGTAGATCTACGTCCAATTTTACATTGTTTCTTATGTAAAAAAAAACATAGATCTACGTTCGGAGAGCTACGTGCGCTAATGTAGATCTACGTTTGGACAGTTTAAGGGTTAACGATAGAGTTCCTTTCCTTAGACCATGTCGGTAAACGAATTTGTTGCTAAGTGTGAAGCATTCTATAATGGCAGTGGGTTTGTGTCAACCATCTCTGATATTAAACCATACCCCCGGCCGGGATTGAACCCGCGGTCATAGAGTCTCAAAACTCCAGCCCGTCGCGCTAACCACTAGACCAGCTAGCCACAATAAGATTCATCCAACTAGGTATATTTCTACACCATAGGAAGGTTAGCACAGGGACCTCTGTGACCACAAATGCAAGTTTTTACAGACGAATCTCCAGCTAGCGTGGCCGTGACGAACTCTAGTTCAAGTCCCTTCACTGCCGTCAACATGACTTAAGAAATCGTAATGACACGATTGCAAATAAACCATACCCCCGGCCGGGATTGAACCCGCGGTCATAGAGTCTCAAAACTCCAGCCCGTCGCGCTAACCACTAGACCAGCTAGCCACAATAAGATTCATCCAACTAGGTATATTTCTACACCATAGGAAGGTTAGCACAGGCACCTCTGTGACCACAAATGCAAGTTTTTACAGACGAATCTCCAGCTAGCGTGGCCGTGACGAACTCTAGTTCAAGTCCCTTCACTGCCGTCAACATGACTTAAGAAATCGTAATGACACGATTGCAAATAAACCATACCCCGGCCGGGATTGAACCCGCGGTCATAGAGTCTCAAAACTCCAGCCCGTCGCGCTAACCACTAGACCAGCTAGCCACAATAAGATTCATCCAACTAGGTATATTTCTACACCATAGGAAGGTTAGCACAGGCACCTCTGTGACCACAAATGCAAGTTTTACAGACGAATCTCCAGCTAGCGTGGCCGTGACGAACTCTAGTTCAAGTCCCTTCACTGCGTCAACATGACTAAGAAATCGTAATGACCATTGCAAATAAACCATACCCCCGGCCGGATTGAACCCGCGGTCATAGAGTCTCAAAACTCCAGCCCGTCGCGTAACCACTAGACAGCTAGCCACAATAAATTCATGTTGACGGCAGTGAAGGGACTTGAACTAGAGTTCGTCACGCCACGCTAGCTGGAGATTCGTCTGTAAAAACTTGCATTTGTGGTCACAGAGGTGCCTGTGCTAACCTTCCTATGGGTGAAATATACCAGTTGGATGAATCTTATTGTGGCTAGCTGTCTAGTGGTTAGCGCGAGGGCTGGAGTTTTGAGACTCTATGACCGCGGGTTCAATCCCGGCCGGGGGTATGGTTATTGCAATCGTGTCATTACGATTTCTTAGTCATGTTGACGGCAGTGAAGGGACTTGAACTAGAGTTCGTCACGGCCACGCTAGCGGAGATTCGTCTGTAAAAACTTGCATTGTGG